TGTTCTCGGACTTCCTAACCCAGCTGAACTCTCTCTCCCCTTCCATCCGTTTCAAGGTGGAATGGGAGGCTGACAACAAGCTCCCCTTCCTGGACACCCTAGTTCATTGCTCTTTTGACCACTTCTCCTTCTCCATATACAGGAAGCCCATGCATAGTGGTATGTATATACACTTCTTCTCTTACCATCCTCTTCATGTAAAGAGAGGTGTTGCCACGTCGCTGTTCCTCCGCGCCCTCCGCATCTGTGACCCACAATACCTGGATGGAGAGATCGACTTTCTGCGTCGTTCGTTCTCCAAACTGGGCTACCCTCGTCATGTCCTCGACGCCGCGCTATCCAGAGCACGGCGGACCTTCTACCACGAGTCCTCTCCTAAAGAGACTCCTCACCTGTCCACCCTCAGCCTGCCCTACACGGAGGAGATCCACTCTCTCCGCCGCCCTCTTCACACTCTCAATTGCAGGCTGATCTTTCGCCAGGTGAACACTCTCCGTCGTAACCTGGTCCACACCAGCCCTCTCTCTTCCTCGAAGGTGGGCACCTATGCTGTTCCTTGTGGCTCCTGTGACAAGCAATACATTGGCGAGACGGGCGCTAGTCTCACTAAGCGCTTGTCTCAATATAAGTATGCTATATCCAGGGGACACAACAACAACGCTCTCTTCTGCCATCAGTGGGACTGGTCAGCGGTGCGAATTGTCTTCCCCTCCGCTGACGTCCACGCCCGCAGACTGGTGGAATCTTCCTTAATAAAGCTGCTGCCTAATTTTAACTTGAACAGCGGCTTATCTCCCGCCGACAGCCTCCTCGCTTCACACATCCTCCGCCTTCTCCCGTACGCCGGCCATCCTGCACACAATCCGCCCGACCCTCCTACCTGATCTGACCTCCCTTCGCTTCCGTCCGTCTGTCCTCACCTGCCCCGTGTCACCGCGTTCCCTGTCATCTCTCCCTCTTATACCCCTTCCTCTCCCTTTCCTCTTCAGACCTGAGGATGGAATCCAGGTGGATTCCGAAATTGTCGTCTCACTTTCATTTTCAATAAATCTAGTTTTTTACATTGTGGGTTTTTCTACCATATATATATATATATATATATATCATATATGTATCATATATATATATATATATATATACATACAAGCTTATACATGTCTATATGTGTCTATACGTGTCTATAAAAACGTATGTATGTTTATATGTACATATGAATATTCATACACATATATATGTATGTATATATGTGCATATGTATATGTATATATATATATATATATGTGTGTGTGTGTTGATGAATATATATACATATATATGAATATATATGTATATATATATATATAAACACACACATATATGTTTATATATATATATATATATATATATATATGTAAACATATATGTGTGTGTGTATGTATAGATGTATATATGTATATGTATATGTGTGTGTGTGTGTGTATGTGTGTATAGATGTATACATGTATATGTATATATGTATATTAATATATAGTATATATATATATAAATTGAGTTATATATGTGTGTGTGTGTATGTGTAGATTCATATATGTGTGTATATGTATATATACATATATATATACATATATATACATACATATATATATATATATATATATATATATGCTTATATGTATTCACATATATATATATATATATATATATATATATATATATATATATGTATATGTATATATGTGTGTGTGTATCTGTGTGGGTGTGGGTGTGTACAGATGTATGTGTATAAATATAATATACATATATATATATATACATATATATATATATATATATATATATATATACATATATATGTGTGTGTGTGTGTGTGCGCGTGTGCGTGTAAATATATATAAATATATTTAGATAGATAGTTATATGTATGTGTGTATTTGTATATATATATATATATGTAAATAAATATATATATATATATATATATATATAATATATATATACATATATATATATATATATATATATATATGAAATATACACATACATATGTATATATGTATGTATAACATGCTAAGCATCATGTGTATATATATGTATATATACATATATGTATGCCATGCTAAATATTAGACTATATATTTAGCATCTATATCATTTGATAATGGATACTAAAAGTATACTGAGGAACTAAGGCATAGAGATAACCCCGCCCCCATCCGCTCCACATAAGCTGTTACCGAGTCTTCACTTCTAAAGGAATTCGCACAGAATTTCTTCTCCCAGTGATAATTTCTCCAATCATAATTGCCACTGAGCGAGACACAGAGAGCATGTTTTGGCAATGATAGTCAAAACTAGTATCAGTTCCAATTTCTTGCCATCCGCTCCTCAAAAGCCATAGGGTGTGAAAGCACTGGAGGAAAACATTACTTCATGTATGCTTTTGATCCTATGCGGGCGAGGACACCTGTGAGGAAGTGAAAAGAGAGTTGGGGTTATGAAATGAGAAGCACCAAATACAAGGGTGCAACTTTCTTTGGGTCTGAGCAACCACGAATAAGTCCGATATGCGAAGCTGAGCTTCGCCCGGGTTATGAGTGGAGCCCGGCCTGTCAATCACGAAGATTGAACACCTCACATTTGTTCAACCAGCTTTGCAATCAGGCGGGGGGGGGGGGGTAGAGGAGTGGAAATAAGGAGAGGCAGTCATTCACTCACTAATAAACTCTATCTGACTCAGATACTGGTCCATTTTCCTATAAATCTCATGTACTACAACTACCACAAACAATAAAGAGTAATAATAATGATGGCAACAATATTAATAGAACGATAATCTCATAAGGGGTTCTGAGTGAGTGTGTTCGTTCATGCGGTTTAAAGTAGGAGAGAACGGGGTAATCTGCTCGTTCTCTTTATATCAAGCCTCCCTCTCTCTTTCAAGCAAAACTACTGAAACTGATACTACTGAACATACGGGTTTTCCTACCAGCTATTTCTCAGAGATAATAATAATAAGATAAGGGGTTGAGGGAAGGAGAGAGTGACGAACTTTTTTGCTTTATATTTTATTGCTCTATTTTTTTCGGCTGTAACATTTGCTCTTAACATATCTACTTAATATATCTGGGGACGCAATCCGACTTGTCTATCCTAAATTGTAACGTCAACACTGCGCTTTCACATGGGACCAGTTTGATTGCCTTGTGAGCAACAAAGGACAAATTGGAAACAGTCAGTAGGTAATGCTGAAATTCATCAATTTCCTTTGCTTGCAATCTGTTCGCCTTGTGCTTGGATAAGAAAGTGTAGGGCAGACTCTCCTCTTTCGAGTGGCTATAGGTTGCTGTTAGGGATGGCTGTTACAGCGTTGGTGCAGTGGGTGCAACAGTGCAGGTGCAAGGACCTAAATGCGATTTTCGAGGGAGAGAGGACTATTCGCTCTTAAGGACTCGGGACTGTGAGGATTCCGTGTGATAAGGCCTTCGAAACTCGGTACTGACTGAAGACTCAGAGTGGGGAGGAGAGGGGAAGGGGGTGAAAGGGAGAAGGGTGGAAGTGGAAAAGGCAGGGCGCAGAGGGGAAGGGGAAGCAGGGAGAGGGAAAGGGTAAGGAGGAGTGGGGGGGGGGTGCTGCTGTTCTTTCGCATTTTGGGCCATCAAGACTTCATCTGGAGACACTTGGCAGCTGCTGTGAGGTTAATGACATCATCCACAACCCGCTTATATATGCTCGTTTTCACAACGTGTTAAAAAGCTGACACAGGTCGGACCATAGCCGAAGGCCCGGGCGAAGCTAGAATGCAAATCGCAATAGTAGTAGTAATTTCGAGCCTCCGGGATAGTACAGTGGTAACGTGTCGGCCTCTCATCCGAGGGGTCAGCGGTTCGCGCCCCGCCCAGGCGCAAGAAGTTGTAACTGTCGCCTGGAGGTTACTGCTGTGCCTGGGCACCACGGCGGGTAAGGACTAAGCTCATCCGAGTCAGCACCTGCTGACACTGTTAGCGAGTCAACACTAATCGGCACAAGCCGGGCTCCCCTCATAGCCCCGGCGAGGCTCAGCTTCGCATATCGGACTTATCCTTACATGTTTTCGGACATATATCAAAGAATGAATTATAAAACAGTGACTTTTTCTATAAAAATATATATCAATATTTTGTGAATACACTAAATACTGAAAGATCATCAATAACCTATAGTATATTATGTGTTATTAACAATGCGTTTAGTTCCACCACTGAATACTGAAAGAAAACGGAATTTGTCGAATGAACGCTCATCCTCACTGACTGGCAAATCAGTGGCAAGTCTGGGCAGGGGGGGGGGGGGGAAGGGGAAAAGGAATGCGGGATAGGAAAGAGGAAGGGGGGGGGGGAAGGGCAAGGGGCAGGGAAGGAGGGGAAGGGACAGAAGGGAGCAGAGAAGGGGAAGGAAAAAGGGCATCGTGGGAGTGGTTATAAGGCAGGGGGAGGAGAAGAGAACAGGGGGAGAAGAGCAAATGATAGGGGGAGGGGAAGGAACAAGGGGTAATGGCAAGACATAAGAGGCGAGGGAAAGGGGAAAAGGCAAGGAAGAAAGAAAGGGAAGGAGGAGGGGAGAAGGGCAAGTAGCAAGGGGTAGAGGGATAATGATGATTATGATCACCTTAAGGATATAGCTGAGGCTATGATTACGCATGGTATATGTGAATTATTATATATTATGATAGTAGTAATAATAAGAATTGAATAATAATAGTACTAATGACAATAACGATCCCGACAATAATAAGAATAACGATCAAGATAATAATAACAATGGCGATAATAATATCGACAAGATAAATAATATCAATAACAGTAATTATTATTAATAATAGTATAACGATAATAATAATGGCAGTAACAATAAGAAAAAGTGATGTTACTAAGGATGACTGTGACGAATACGAAAATTTTGACACGAAAATGCTTCCAATGATGGCAATTATTGGTAATTATGATGATTAGTATAAGAACTACAATGGGATGATAAACTGTGAAATGCGATTTGTAATGCAAAAGTATTGTAATACTAAATGTAACTGCTGTGATAAAGAGAATTACGATGGTAATTATGCTGATTATGATGGCCATGTTAGTAAGGATATCTATGAATGTGTTAATCATGATGGCAGGAATAACGGCGATAAAGCAATGAACATAATAGTGATACTAAAGATAGCAAGGTAAGTAATAAAAAATACTGTAAGGAAAGGTTCCAGGTAAATATCTAATTCATGAATTAATGAGAAAATTATACCGTTATGTCTCGGTGCATGTGTTCGTCCTTCTTCTATAATGATTACCTTTACTGCTAGTTACTTCCTTTCATTCTTCGCTGTGTTAACCTTAACAACCACCCGCGGATAACTATTTTTCATTGAATATTTAGCATAAATAATCAATGTATATTTTTTTAATCCCAATGCCGCCGGGGAAAATGCTGTGTCTATTTTCTATATCTTTATGAAATATCTGCCCATAGATGGCCCTGCTAGCGCCTGATTTGAAGTGGCGGGAAAAAACGTATTTTTCACTAGTGTTATGAATATCGATGCTGTTATTTTTATTATAAATATTATAATTATTATTATTTTTTTTACATTAGTAACAGTAAAATAAGATAACGTAAAATATTTCGTAAATCAAAGAAAAGGGTAAACGGGCGAGACGGGCTGTGCTCGTAACTGGCTCATTTGTGGTTTAGTACAAGTGTAG